CTCGCAGCTGCCTGTTTCACAGAATAATCAACTCTCAATTATGCAGCACAATGGCAATGGTAGAATAACCCAAATAATACGAAACCAAGGCTGATACAAAAGGTAAATAAATTAGGCAGTAAGGATATATTTAGGGCGCTCACCTTTGAAAGGCTGGTAAGCAGATTCCTGTAGAGAACAGAGGCAGATTTAAGCAGGCAGAATGGGGCTGGGTGCTAGTGCGATGAATGTTGCTCCACTCAGACCTTCTGCTGCGGCCAGGAGTGACGGAGGAAGGCAGGGCTTGGTGAATCCACACCGTGGATAATCCATCCAGGTATCACTGAGGGTTGCGTGAAAGAATTTATTTTTCATTGAAGATATTATTTCTTTAAGAAAATACGCTGCTGATCCTAATCAAAAAGCGGGAATAGACAGTCAACACTCCATGGCATTTTAAGTGAGGGAATTGTTGCTGAGAGAAGGGGAAGATTTTTCTCTTTTGGCAAAGAGAAAAAATGCAGTTTTATGAGAGGTACAAATTCTTGTTTGGCTGTAATAAACAAATTTTGCCCAGGGCCAGGGAGGCAAAGCTAAGCTAAATTTTCTCCTCCCCATCTCTAGCCATATCACTCTGCAGCTGCGCAATTCTCCAGGGATAAGCTCATGGACACACTAACTAGCTCTCAAACAAAGTGCTTCATTCTTTGTTTTTGGCAGTGAAAGCAGTGAGAAGCAGCAAGGCAGGCACACAGGTTGCACTGAATCCTTTGGGATGATCTCTCCCATGAACCTCCTGGGGGTAGGACTGGCGCAGCAGCCTTGCCTGCCCGTCACTGTGAGGTACCCTTTCCCAGCTGTGTTGCAAAAAGTAACTGCATTCAAGATGGTCTTCCCTAGTCTGAGAAAATAAGGCTCAGTAACCAAAATACCAGTCTGCTTGTTTTGGGCTGTAGGGTCTTGCATTTAGGTACCTAGATACAGTGTGACTGAATGCTGTGGCATCTTACAAAGGTAGGTCAGCCACAAACAAGACCTACATAACCAAGTGAAGGGTGTAAAATACACTACCTGACATGCAGAGAGCTAGTATGGATCCAGTATGAAATGTGATCAGAGAAAATAGCCTGAGCAGTAGAAACTCCACCTCAAATTTCCTGTGTCTAGGCACAGTTATCAAGAGAGTTGCAGTAAACAAACTTACTAGCTGCCCGTGTCCTAATCTTCATGCTACTGTGGTTGAAACTGGGAAGAAACATGAAGCTATGCATGGGTACGGTTTTGATGGCACTGATTTCTATAAACATTACAGAATATGAACATCTATACCGATACTGTTGACTTTAGCCACATACAAGGTCTAGTAACAGTGAATGCTTTAATGTTGTTGGCTTTGCTCATTCCACCTTGACAAATTATGGATGATATGTTTAATTTCCCATTACTGAACCTGACTGCTCCTTAGATTACGGGAGGACTTTTATTTTCTTTTGCTGATGGAGAACTGAGGTACATTGTAGGGCTGTGCCCCAATTATATAGGAAGGTATGGCAGAGCAGGTAACTGAAATGAGCTTTAGCTCAGTTCTTTCATGCGTATCTTCAACGCTGCCTAATTCTTCCTCACATATCAAATTCATCCAATTTTCCTTCAAGAGAGCAAAGGCTCTCTTAATACCTTGAGGTCTGAAAGATCTAGCCTTTCTTCCTTGCTTCATGAAGGTCTGCAGGGAAGTAAGACTTTGGCTTCAACATTGAGATTATGCTGCAGATACCCGTCTTTCACAAAAGATGCAAATAGTGGTTTCGCTTGTATTTTTGATGTCTGAGGGAAATAAACACAGGGATGAATCGTTTCAGCCAATAAGGAGAGAAGCTGTATCAACAAAAAGAAGCAAGGATTACACTTTCCGTTGCTGTTGAGGGCTGCTGTACTCTGACTGTCAAGCTGCAAAGCAGTGCTTGTGCCCTGCAGGGACAGACTGCTTCTGAAGACAGCAATGGCAAAAACTGTCTTTTTACATTTTTATTTAGTCAGAAGATTTTTGCCTTTATGGTTGGATGAGGTAGTTATCAGCATCTTGTGACTGAAGCACTCAAACACGCTATCTGAGGTAGTTCTGTTTAACTCAATACACACGGTCTGTCTTATAGGCAAGGAAGGTGACGTAGTAAATATGAAATAGCATCTCACACTAGTGCTCCATGGGCTTCCTGCTCAGCTTCCGATGCACTTCAAAGCTCCGTAGCCGTCTGGTCTCCAGCTGTCTTACAAACAACCTCTTCACCCATGAAGCATGCTGTGGGTAGGGGCAGTTGTTTCACAGGAACCCAGAATACATTGTGTTCCCAGCGTAGGTTCTTGCCTGACTTTACCTCTGGGGAACAGGAAGAGCCTGAGCTGGACTGTCCTCAGAGCTGTTTGCAAACTGTTCTCAGAAACAATGGCTGATGATTCATCTGGCATCGTCACCAACATTCTCCAGGCCTGCCTTTTAACAAACCTTCCCAAAACAAAGAAAGGGGACCTTCCCAGACAGAATCAGGTAGGCTTTATTGGTGGATCTACAGAAGAGTAATCGAGGCTTAAGAGTGCTTGTAATCAAGTGATTACATATGCTTGCCTGAAGTCAGACAGTAAGCTAGTTTAACAGCTCTGGGGACCCTTGTTCCTGTGTTGTGCTCACATGACATGAGCACGCTGACTCATCCATGTGTGGGGATATATAAATGCCTGCTTATAACGTGTTTTTGCAAGTTTTAGTAATAAAGCCAGATCTGTGAGGTTGTGATCCTTTCTATGGCAACAGAACACTGTCATCACCAACATTTTGACTTAAAAGTTCTTCGAGTTTGAAAAAGAAACTCAGTTCTTTTTTTTTTTTTTTTGTTTATGCTAGTAACGCAGAAGGTCACTGGTTTAATGTGCGTAACCTTTTAAAGTTATTTCTTTGAGTAAACATTTGCTGGAAGATATCCTGTCTGGGTGATACCTTTTGCAAATGCCTGATATTATGCTACCTAAACAAACTTTTCTTTGGTGAGCCCAAGACAAGATATGGGGTGGCCTTTCTAAAGGTATGCAGCCTAGTATAATGACAGCCCAAGTGATACTACAATATCCGAAAATGAAAGACCCCAGAGTAGGGAAGATGGATGGTGTTTCCCTTCTGCAGTTGCTAGCAGTGAAAGGATAGTGATGACTGATGAAGACTAAGATAAATTAATGAAGGAAGATTGTACTACTCATCAAGGATGTGAGCTGACAGAGGTTAGATATGCTGGCATCTCTGGGAATGAAATGTATCTGGTGAGGAGAGCCTACATAAGCACATGTGGAAGACATCCACTCAAAAACAAAATTATGGATATCTGCAACATGAAATAAATGAAATATTTACCTAAGGAAGTTAGAAACATGCTAAAAAAAACCCAAACAAAATGTGTCCACCAAAAAAGAAAAACAGTCCTGTGGAAAGAGGACTAAATATTGGACTAAAAAAGGTGAAACAAAGAGAAGTGCAAATGAACAAAGCAAACCTTTGGTACAGGACTGCAGGGGATGCTTGTGGTTGTTAAAGCATACATGGCTGTGCCAGAGGAAACTTCTTTCTTTCTCTTTCTTTGTAATAAGCTTTTAACCAAAAGTTAGTTATCCTTATTAGACTAGCAGATGTAAATAGTTGTCATAGAGGAGTATTAAAAAGTCCTTGAAGGTCAGTTGATTAACAGCATTTGATGCTGCAGCATATGATTTTTAAGCAGGGAACTTTACCTTAAAAACCGAAAATCCTTCAAAAACTTTTTTTCTCTTATCTTCCTCTCTTACACATCAGTAGATGAAGTCAGTGTTGAGTGCTTACTTATGTTTCCTTAAATACCAAGAAGACAACAAAAGATATTTAAACACTATACATGTTATACTTCATGGAGGTGGGAGGAAAATGTGTACAGAAGTGATATGCCCTTTCTTGGGATGCATCAACTCACACACCTTCCTGGAAAAGACAAAAGGGCAAAGGAAAAAAAAAAAAAAAACCCAGACATGAGAAAAAAAAAAAAAAATCGACAACAGAAGCCTGCGTTGCTGTGTCACTTTCCATGTCATATGAAAATACTTTTTCCAAAATTTTAAAGCATTTTGTAAGAGCAGTCAGAAGCATATTGTTTTTTTTCTTTTTCCTTTTCAAAGCAAAGCAAAGTTCCACCCTTGCTGTCTCTCTTTCTCCTCTCTCTCTCAAAAAAAAAAAAAAAAAAAAAAAGTTTTGAGAATTTCATTTTTCTATTCACTGCAGTCCTGGCCAAAGTAAAGCCCTCTTTTACATTGACGTCAAGATCTTTACTAAGATTAGGGTTTCATTTCTCTATTGCAGCAATTAGCTAGGGAATGTATAAAAGGCTTCAGGGAAGCAAGCTAGGGCTCCAGAGGGGAAAGCACTTTGCACCATAGGCAGATAGCAAGAGAGAGGGCGAGAGAAGGAAGGCAGGAATAGAGAGAGGCGGGGGGGGGGGGGGAAAAGAGAAGGAGAGAGACAGGGAGGGAGGAAGGAACAGAAAGTTTATGTACATAAACCTTTTTTAAAAAAAGTATTGTTGCACCTGGTAGCTCGCTTTACTGACACAGAAATGAGAGAGGTCTGCTCAGTGCTTAAATAGCTGAGAAACAATGGGATAGTGCAGGAAAGTTAACAATTAACAGTCTCAGCTTAAATTTTGTAACTGCAGGGAACTGGAAACACAGCTGCCTCTCTCTTCAACAAAATCAGGTCTCCTGGTTAAGGGAAGAATTTTGTTAACATCTTAGTTTCTGAAAAATAAGCAGCTCCGAGTTGAATGAGTATCATGCAGTTATGGTTTTAACCAGCCTGCTCATATTTAACTATCTCTGCTCATTTTAAAGAGAGCGGCTGAGGGAGGGATAACGAGGCTTTTGAAATGCTTTTTACTTTACTTTTTTAAATGAGGATACAGGGCAAAAAAAGGGAGCTGAAGGCATCCGGCTGAAGAGAAGCAGCAAGGAAGATGGGTCTGCTAAGTGTGGATTTGCTGATCACGCTTCAGATCTTGCCGGTCTTTTTCTCCAATTGCCTCTTCCTTGCGCTGTATGACTCGGTGATCCTCCTGAAGCACATGGTGCTATTTCTGAGCCGGTCTAAGTCTGGGCGCGGTGAGTGGCGGAGGATGCTGACCTCGGAGGGGCTGCGCTGCGTCTGGAACAGCTTCCTCCTGGACGCCTACAAGCAGGTGGGTACACGGGGATGGGGACTGGCAGGTTGGGGTGGGGGAGCTGTGATGAACATCCCTGTCGTCAACGGAGAAGGGAAGGGAATGACTCTGTGCGGTGCAGACTGTCTCCGATTTGATGTTAAGTGTGATGGGAGAGGTCTGGACTGCAAGGAGCCGCGCTTTTAAGTCGGGGCTAAGGGTTCACGAGATTCAGGAGCCGCTGTGTCTCTGCTCTGCCACTAACTCTGCCTGCAGCCATGGCCATGTCACTTAGTTTAGCCGTGCCTCAGTTTCCCCACCGGTACGAATAATAATCTTCATGTTTATACAGTATTTCATGATCTTCGTATAAGAATAATTGTAAAATGTTCCGGATGTTTTCACAGCTGTTTGTTTGCCATGCGAGATCCTCAGAGATTACACAAAGACTTCATCTTCAGATAGAGCTCTACATAGGTAGACATCATCTGTGTAATGTAGAATTGTTTTAATTAGAGTAAAAGATAGAAATGAACCTTTGTTATTACACTGGCATTTTTTATTACTCATATGTTAATTTTTATATTGGAGGAAGCATCCAGGTAATAGTAAAACAGGGCAAGGAGGGAAACAGCCTTTTTTCTTCATGAAGGCAGTGACAGAGGGACATGTGAGAGATTAAAAATGAACTTGACTAGCTGAGGGACAGCTGCCTGGCGATTTAAGTTAATAAAGCCAATAGCAGTTATGCAACGTGTACTTTTTTTTTCCCTTTAAGTTTTGTACAAACATTACCCAGTGGTACTGCCCAGGTCTCAGGAGGTAGTTATAGTTCCCTTTTATAGATTGAAAAGGTGGACCCAAAAAGATGAAATTTCTTGCACAGGCCACCCAGTTAGTAAGTAGAAGAGCTGGATTCAGAGCTCTGTGGCTTCCAAAACAGTGCTTAGTCTGTTAATGTGTTGTCTTATTTAGACCATCTAATTTAACATACCCTATGTGATGTCATGAGATCATAGGGGTCCTATCCAAACGAAAACTCTGTATCTTCTGAAATATTTCCTTTTGTATCGCCTTCCCCCCAGTCCCCTTTCACTACCCCCACAATGGCTGTTGTATTTGCTCCTACTTAGAGATGTGAAGACCTGCTGTTGGTGTTTGCTGGCTTTGTGATATGGAATACAAGCTGCTTAGCCTGAAACCCAAGCCACGGGGACATTAATTTTCAGTGTAAGACAAATATAAATAACATTAGCGTTTGCCAAATGGGTCAACCTCTTACTGCCACCCTAGGAATCAGCCAGCTGGCTACCCAAATAAAGTAATGCTGAATGAAGCTCACTATTCTAGCCCTTCTAGTTTCTGTTTTTAGTCTCTTCACAGACATTAAGTAAATTTTACAGTGGCCTTGTTAAATGGGCCGTGGAACACAATTGTTCCCATTTTACAGACAAGACAAGGCAGGACAGTTAACACATGACTTGGTCAAGGCTCTAGTGGAAGTTGGCAACACAGCTCTGAAACAGCCAAGTTTCCAGTTCCACATTTGCAACCTGTATATGGCCCAGGGTGTGGAGAAAGTGTGGAGTTGTGAAGAACCTTATATCCATGAGATATTTTCAATGTCATTTTGCTTAAATAGCACAAAATGATTTAAAATAAAGATGTCACATGCCTTTCTGTACTTTCCAAAGTCATATCTTGCCTTTTTCTCAGTACTGTTGATGTCAACCATAGAAGCTACAGGGAAGATGACTGTGCTATTTTTGGTGTTGGCAGTGAAGCTCATACCTTGAACTTTGGTAATTAAAAACTCTCCCTTATCACCATTAAATGACCTAGATTGTTCAGGTCAATCAGGCTTTAAGGTCCCTAGAATGAATTCTGCGCCTCAATGAACTGAGCAGAAAAATGCATATAAACATAACCAAATTTTATCACCTTGTTCCAAAAAGGGGAAAAAATTCATTCATGCCAGCTGTCCTTAAGACAAAATTAGCTGACTAACAATTCATGGAAAGACTGTTTTCCTTAATAGAATTATGGGCCATAAGGACAGAAGATCATTGGAAACCCTTGATTGTTACAGAAAGGTAGATAAGTATAGAAATCAAATTATAGAGGGGACACAATAAACTGAGGAGCAATATTGGTAGAAGAAGAGTCATCACCTCCATAATGGAGGAGAATCTGCTGCTGCTTCTAGAAGCAAGAGAAAGAAAAAAAAAGTTTCAGCTGGAAAGCTGCACTGGTAGAATTGAAAAAATTTGAAATACACCCTGCTTTATGGCATGTTTAGAAAGCATGAGAAATAGTGAAATATATTAAATACTGTTCCACAAAGCATTTTTTCCCTTAAATTATCTTTTTCTAGATCCTGAATAAGACTGCCCAATTCTGATACCTTAATCTTAGCCAATTAGTGAAGGGAGGAAATGAAAATATTATGGAATCGGGGTACTAAACAGTATGGCAAAATGCAGTCGATATCATAACCATGATTGCTTATTGTTCCAATTTGCTAGCTGAACCCAGGTATTAGCAAATACTTAAGCAGGTGCTTAAGCTCATTCCTTTGAGTAGTATTTATGAGATAATCACCATTTTTCAGCTAGAATAGCAGAACTGCAGATGTCTGAGATAAACCAAATCTAGACTGCCTGTTAGCAGAAGACTGGATTAAAGCAGTAACTGCTTGGTTTTGCTGTGTTTTGTGTCACTTACACAGAACTCTTCCTGAGTACATTTCATAACATTTTTCACAAAAGTACTTGATGTAAAATTTCTATTCTCAGAAAAATTTACTGGAAACCGTTCCAGAAAAACTCTGTGGGTAGATATTAGATTCTGGATTAAAGTAAGTTTATTACAAGAAAGGAGCTCTATCTTGAAAGCACACAGACTGTCCCAGAATTAAGTGATTTTGCTTCAAGACTAGTGTGTATAAGAGATGATCTTGGAATAGTTCAAGTAGAATATATTTGAAAATAGCTATTCTGATGCATTTTTCCTTCTAGAAAAACTTTTGAATATCTTTACCCAAATTTCAACTTGCTTTTGTTCTGCTTTTTGTTGTTATTAAGTATTCTTGCATATGACTTTTTGGTTAGGGCAATTATTTCATAGGCAAGATTACCTAGCAACAGTTGAAGATTTTAACATCCTCAGTGGGGAAGCAATGCAGAGTTTGTTGTATACTGTATATACAGTATATTCAGTATTCTTTTTTATTGGAACATTCTATATGACTTGTTTTCTCCACATTTTACAGTCCCACTGGAATCAAAATTATTGATCTTTTCTTTATTTTCATTTTCTTATGTAAATGTTATCAATGATTAATATGTTTCAGTTTACTTCCTTAGCTCTGAGTTCAGTATCTGTCACACTCAGTGTTGTTATTGTCTACATTGCACCAGCTTTGTGATTTATACAACATCCTCCTCCTATTCTTTTCCGAGAGGCAAGCGTGTCTTACATTACAAGGGAGTCTTTAGAACCAGATTAATTGTCATAACAGAGATAAATAGAGCTAGTAGTCAAGTTGCATTAACTTTATATAATTAAAAGAGTGCAACTATTTTATTTAAATGTTATTTTTCTAATTTACTGTTGTGCTCTGTTTATCTACAGAAATGAGTGGATTGACTCCTGAAGAGCAAATCATGTATGTATGTGTGTGTAGGTATTTATACTTCCATATGTGTTTGTATGTATACAGATACATGTGTGTATCTGTCTATATATATGTACGTACATATACGTATATGTGTATAAATGCAAAAATACACACACATAGTCATACATAATCTGCACTTTCAGGAGTCAGTCCTCTCTTACTTCTCTGTATATGTATATGCATATATATGTGTATGTATACGTATAGATAGATATGAATGCAACCACACCTCCTGATAAGAGAGAAAAAGGAAGAGATTTTTGGGAGGGTGTTAGAGTGCCTTCTGCATGATTTATATAGGCTGTCTGCACAAATGCCAGTGAGGCATTTGTTTTTGCCCACAGCATGTATACTGAATGTGCTACATATCTTATAGAAATCCAGAGAAAAAGCTAGAGAAGTTTTGAAAAAAACCCCGTTGTATTTACTTTTAATAGCATTTTTTACCTGCTAAGTTCCATGCTTTGTTTAGTACTGGAATGAATCTGCTTTCTAAGATTTCAAAGGTGAGAAACTGTTATCTTAAAATGCTTTTAAAATGGGTACAAAAAAGGTTGCACCCATTAGCAGTGCACAGCGGTGAGGCCTCGTGCTGGGAACTTTTCAGTGCCAGGTACAAGCTTTGTGTTTCAGGAATGCAGAGCTACTGTTCTTGGTCTCCAGTAGAGAGCTGTAAGGTTATCCTAGAGGAAATCCTCCCTCTTCACCTCAGTACAGGCTAGTTAGGGGGAAGACCTTAATGGCATCACCTCGAAGCAGCCAAATGCTTAGTAATGCCGTGGTGCACCTATGAGGGTAACATGCGTGTGTCCATATATGCACGTGTGTAAATGTACAGCCCTCACTCAGAAGGATGACAGTATCTCAAACGATGGATAGTGATGGGTGTGTGTATGTACTTGTACAGCTTTTTACTGTCTTTAGAACGGGCCACCAGCAAGCTCTGGCATGACAGACCCAGCACGGAGGGAACGGTTGGCACAGGATCCCAACTGCACAACGTAGGGATCCCACACCCAGTGGGATTTTCCCAAGATTTCAGGGAGGCACAATTAAATTACCTTTGGCTACTTCTGCCTGCCTGATAGGTACATTATTTATTCCTTAAAAAAAAATCGGTATGCAAAGCAGGCCAGTGTGAAAACTGTCATGTTAAGTGCATGCTGCACAGCATTGACACGAAGCTGTATGTGAAAGTAATGTAATGGCGTAATCCTTTACCTGCTGTTTGGCTGTCTAGTGACTCGTTGCTTTTTGGAGAAATCTTTCAAAGGTTGGAACAAAGACATAACCTCTGTACTTATTATTTGCATTTATTTTGTCTGCAAGGTAAGGAAACATCTCTTCTCTGCATCTGACA